AAAGAAAACTTCATGTTGGTAGGCAAGTGAGCAAGATGAAAGCCCTATAAGCTGAAGAAGCAGGTCTGCTGTCTTAGCAGTTAGGTCAGCTGGGATATGAGGGGCAGATATGTCTCCTTTATCTCAGGGTAAATCTATCATCTACCAGAATTGCTGCCAAAGATCCTAATATTTGTTAAACCATTGTCCCTTGGTCCCTGGGCAGCTAAACCTAATAGAGGTTCTTTCTCATGCTGTCTTACTCAGGTCTCTGCAACTAATGGCCAGTCTCTAAAAGATAAAGAGACTTTGACCAAAGAACTTTGTAATGCCCTCCAAACTACCTACTGAGAAGAGGCTGCCATAACTTACCAACTGCATAACAGGACACTAAACTCAGAATCCTCAAGATCTACTTCATTGATTATGTTTTGGGCTTTCAGAGGGAGTAAAAGAAAACAGCAAAGATCAGATATGTGTGGGCTTCAGATTATTTACTGTACATGATTCAATTTCATGTATAATAATATAAAATTCAATATATATTGATTTTATGATTCAATTCAAATTTAAAAACAGGCAAAACAACCCAACAACCCCATTACTGAGTATATAACCAAAGGCAAGAAAATCAGTAAGTCAAAGAGTTATAGGTACTCTTGTATTTATAGCAGCAGCCCTATTTACGATAGCCAAGATTTGGAATCAACAAGTGTCCAAGAACAGATGAATAGATAAAGAAAATTCAGTATGTATATACAATGGAATATGATGCTGCCAGAATAAAGGATGAAATCCTGCCATTTACAACAAGATGGATAAGTCTGAAGGACACGTAATGCTAAGTAAATTAAACCAAGCACACAAAGACAAATTCTTTATGATCTCATACATATGAGAAATCTAAAAAAGTTGATTTAATTGAGGTAGAGAGTAGAATAGTGGATACTAGAGACTAGGGCGGGGCAAGAAGGAAGAAAAGAGAGTTGGGCAAGGTACAAAGCTACAAGTAGACAGGAGGAATGAGTTCTACTGTACTACTGCATAGTGGGGTGATTACAGTTAACAATAATTTATTATGTGTATCAAAATTCCTAGAGGACCCAGTGAAGACTCTTACCACAAAGAAATAACAAATAACTGAACTGATAGGTAATTATCTTAATTTGATTATTATACAATATATACATGTATGAAAACATCACATTGTATCCTATAAATACATACAAATTTTATGTGCCAATTAAAAATAATTTTAAGAGGTAGGCTTGGAGGCATAGTTCTGTAATCCCAAAACTCAGGAAGCTGAGGCAGGTGGATTGCTATGAGTTTTAAGTCAGCTTGAATTACATAGTGAGCTCAAGGCTAAATTGAGTTGCATAGGGAGACCCTGTCTCAAAAAACTAAAATAAAAACAATAATTATTTTACTTATTGATTTTGGTACCTGGGATTGAACTCAGGACCTTGTACTTGCCAGGCAGATACTTAAGCCACTGAGCTATCTCCCTGGCCCAACAATAATTTTAAAAATAGGGCTAAGGAGATAGTTCAGTAGAATAAGTGCTTACCTGGCAAAAAATAATAATAATTTTAAAAATATACAAAAATACTCAACTGTACAGTGTTAGACCCAAGTACCTCTAGAGTGACAGTGGGTACTCATTAGTAGAGAAGCCTTCAAGTTGATAGAAATGATACATGTCTTGATTTTAGTTGTAGTTATTTGAGTCTATAACACAAAAATTCCTGGAGCTGTACCCTTAAAATAAGCACATTTGACTAGGTATATATATCAATTTTTAAAACATTACTAATCTAGGAAAATACATGTTTTAAAAATAAAATGAAATACTCCTAATTGAAACTTTAAAAAATTTTGTTCAAATTGACCCATATTTTGCCTCTATCTTCCCCACACCCTGTCTCCATGAATGTTTCTTTACAAAGGTCTAAAACAGGCAAGATCAAGGTGGTTGCTGTGATACATACCTGTAATTCCAGCAGTAGGGAGGCTGATGCAAAAGGATCACTGTTGAGTTTAAGGCCAGTCTCAGCTACATAGTGAGTTTAAGTCCAGCCTGAACTACATGATGAGATACTGTTCAAAAAAATACAATAAAATAAAATAGCCAATCTGTGATATTATAAGTTGGGAGGATGGTTCCCCTTGGCAGAACGACTAGAAGAGCATACAATGGGGATTTTTAGGGTGCTGCAAATGCTATTTTCTGATCTGAGTGTATTACCCATAGGTTCTTTCTTTGTGACAGTACACTGAGCATGCATGCATCTTAAATCTCCAAGGTTTTATAAGGAACTAATTCATGGAGGTCAAACATGCCTAAAAATTACAAGACAAGCAAGTCACAGATACACATACCTATAATCACAGTACTCGGACAGGATGAGACAGGAAATCATAAATCCAAGCACAGCCTGAGTAACTTAGTGACTTAGTAAGATGCCATCTCAAAATTTAAAAAAGGGTTGGGGATGTAGTGAGCTACATCTTGTGAAGGCCCTGGGTTTAATCCCCAATATCACAAAACAAAACAGATCAAAACAATGGCTCTTAGAACACAGTAAGTTTCTTTTCCTTTGATATTTTTTAAGTTTAGCCTAGAAAAAAAATCTTCCAAATTCAATTTGCTTTTTTTTTTTTTAGTCAAATCTTAATGTTATCAGTTTAGATACTTACTCAGTAAACTTTTCATTTTCTAACCATAAGCAAGGTAAAATCCATCCTAGTTGCCATGGAGTAAGCAATGAGGTTCACTCTTGAGATGAGGTTACAGATGGATGTCATCACCTTTGCCAGGAAGAACCCTAAAGGAAATATAAGAAATATGCATTAGATTCCTGACAAGAACATGTTACTTTAGGGGCTGGGGAGATGGCTTAGTAGAATAAGTACTTCCCTGGTAAGCGCAAGGGCCTCAGTTCAATCCCCGGTTCCACTAAAAAAAAAAAAAGTATGTTACTTTAATAAATACTTGATCCTTTGAAATTATTTTCACTATTGTGGGGGAGCTATTTTTTAAATGAGGGGGTGGGGGTTTCAAAAGAGTTTTGAGGTGGCTCTCAGCCAAGAGGGACTGGATGGAATTTTCTCAGCTTGAGAGTGTCACGTCTGTAATGTTTCATTATATGGAGCTCTAGCTTCAAATCCTTGGTTCTCCTGCGAATCTCTGAATTTTGCAAGCCTCCTTCCTCGACATTAACCCCTATAAGGTTCCTAACAACGGATCTATATGGCATCTCTAACCACAATCTCCCAATCTCCAAAGTTCCAAGTTCCTTATAGTCACCAATATCCCAGTATGTCCAAATCTAACCAAAGAAAACCACTGGTCACTGACTACAAAATTCACTGACACAATCTGATTGCCAAACAGAAAACTGCACAGATCAGTCATGCACCTGTGCTGATCTTCAGTGATAGTCCAATGACTGGAGGCCAATCGCTGATTGCACAATCCTACTTGTTTCCACACTGACAGCTCCAATCACAAACTCGCTGTGACCTCTCTATATCTCTTCCCTGATCTACTAAAGTTAAATCATGAATACCTTTGGATTTCCCATCAAGGATCTAAGAAAGTTTCCATCACTAATGGCCCAAAGCAACTCTTCACACACTGACCTCCACCAACTTTCTCATCATGGAACCCCAAAGTTTTTACAGTTAGCAGTTCCAATAAACAAGATATCATTAACCACAGAATTTAGAACTTCCAGTCTCTGACCCTCTCGAGCTTTCAACACTGAGCCTCAATGCACTCAAAAACAGCGCCTTCGAAAATTTCCACTTGGCCCCACACCCATGAAGATCATAACTAACCACTGGCAGCACCCTGCCAATCAAGCCATCTCATAGAATCCTCGTTTATTAATTCCATACACTGCCAATCTGTCTTCACAGAGCCCCTGCCACTAATTCCCACAAACCTCCGCCCGCCACCACGAAGCGCCAACGAAGCTCAGGAGCCAAATCACTTAACTCTTCGGTTCTCTCGCCTTGACCCTAACGGGTACCCATAGCTGATCCAGTCAGGCCACCGTAGTCCCAGATCATTATCCTGCACAGATTAAAGCTTCACTTTTGCTAATCATTCCCGTTTACCAGGATCCGTGCCCCTAATCCGAATTCTCTCATAACGCCGCCTCATCGCAGTACAAGCTATTCCCAGCCGGAGGAGGCGGCGCGCAGACTCAGTTGCGACTTTGAGGCCCTGAGCCACCACCGAGCAACCTTCCAGAGAACAGGATTCTGGGGTTTCAGAATGTCAATGGGAGGTATGATGGCTGCGCCTTCTGGACGATCACTTGATGGGAACGGCCATATTTAAAACTTTTCCGTACGATTCACCAAGTCCTTCGCTTCACCTAGGGGTAATTCGCTGTTTTAAGATGGGGTGAAGCAAGTGCCTCAAGAATTAGCGACACAGTTCTTGTCACTGCTTTTAGCACCTGAGACGCCTAAACCTCATGTGATCAATTTACAGCAACCTGGACTTAGAAAATGAGATTTCTTTGTCTCCAGAAGGCTGTTAAGTAGGTTGGTCACATACATTTTTATGGCTTCTTGCGCGCAATGGGCGTGGCCATCTCTGAGAGGAGCTCCTTTATGGTAAAATGAAATTTTTTTTAGAGATAGAAACAGGAATTGAAGCGTGGTGAAATCACTGACTCTTAAACTCTGTTGTGGCCTGTGGAGAGGCTGCTCTTCACGTAAGGGCGGAGCCGCGAGGAAGGGTGGGGTAGAAGGAGGAACCAGGGTAGAAAGTTGTTAGACTTTTACTGAAAAGATGTTGAAAGCAGGGTCATTATCTTAAGTGGCTGGCCTCAGAATCCTACCTGAGAAAAAATATGAATGCAAGCATTTTATCAGGTAGGTGAAACAGGAAGGATGGAAATCAATAGAAAGCACCAATGAGCAAATTACCCCGTGAGCAATAGGAGCTCTATTTTGAGCTCCAGGAGATTACATAGAAACCACCTCCAGTGTCCCACCTAAACCCTAAGAAAGCAGGACCTAGGTCGTTTATTCTGCGCTGTTGCTCGGCCCTTGTTTCCAACAGAGATTTGCAGCTGCATATAGTCTGCAGAGGAGGATAATGAGTGATCGGGGGAAGTGTCAGGGTACCAACAGCATTCTCTGGAGTCCTATCTTGAATTTCACCTAAAGCAGTACCCTGCACAGCGCAAGCATTGAAACATCTCTAGAAAGCGTTGTTTATCCTATGAAAATAGTTTTTTGAAAAAATTCTTATTTTGGGGATGCAGTACTGTTCCCATAATCCCAGCTACTCCGGATGTTGAAGCAAGAGGATCACAAATTTGAGCTCAGCTTTGGCAGTTCAGCAAGACCCTGACTCAAAATGAAATGAAGAAATTAGGAAAATAAAATGGGGTGGGTATGTAGCTCTACGATAAAACACTTGCCTAGCACAGTCAAGACCCCAAGTTCCATCCCCAGCACGTGAAAAAAAATCCTAATTTCAATGGTCATGATAAGAATAGGATATAACTGACCTCTAAAGTTGTTTCTAATTTTTTTTTTTTTTTTAGGAACCAGCGATTGAACTCAGGCTCTTTCCCTTGCAAGGGAAGCACTTATTCTACCGACCCATCTCCCTGCCCCTTCTAATGATTCTTAGTATTCACACTCTTGTGTGGTCCCCTCCTATATAATGGCAGAGATGGCCTCTAAGACTAAAGTGATGATGCATCACTGATGAAATTAGGTTATAAAATACACCTTGACTTCTATCATGAAGCTGCTATATTCTTTGGACACTGGGACAATTTATGGAGGGGTCCATATAGCAAGAAACTAGATTTTTAGTCAATGAGCTCTTCCTATTACCAAGTCAATCATCTTGGAAGCAGCTCTTTCAGTTCCTGAGACAACTGCAGGCCTGGCCAATATTTGACTGCAACTGTGTGACTCAGTCAAAACTGTAGGACTTGTTGGTGTCTGGGTGTACCCCTGGGAGAAAGTGCGGCAGGAATAAGGAAAAGATAGACAAGAGACAAGAGCTGGGCTCAGGCTGGAGGTCTGTTTGCCTGATGAGCAAAAGACCTTTCCAACAACAGTTGAGGTGTTTATTTGTACTCTCAGAAGGTTAGTATCAGGAGACACAAGGTTGCCTAGTGACTAGTGGTTGAAACTGCCCAGGCGGGATGTTTTAAGACTGAGGTAGTTTGACCACTTTAAGCACTGAGTCCTTGTCCTGCTCTCCCACATAGAATCGATTTCCAACTTCAGCTGCTCCCAACACAAAGCCATCTAGTTGGGGCTGAGAGTGAAGATAAGTGGTAGAGCACACAAGACCCTGTATTTCATCCCCAGAGCTTGAAAAAAGCCAAACCACCAAAACCCTCCACACAACTATATCAGCAACCAATCCTGGCCCACAGAATGTATTTGAGACCACTAAATATTACCTTTAAGCTGCTGAGTATGAAACAATTTGTTATGTATAAATAAATAACTTTCAAGCTATGGTAAAATACTACATTTGACATTTCTGAATTCCTTAAATAACTTCTTAAATTTGTGCAATTATTAGGAATTCATCTTCTGGGGCTGAGGAGATGGCTCAGTAGAATAAGCACTTGCCTGGCAAGTGCAAGGGCCTGAGTTCAATCCCCAGTTCCACAAAAAAAAAAAAAAAAAAAAAAAAAAAGAAAGAAATAAAGAAAGAAATTCATCTTCTATATGATAGAAAAACTGGACTATGACTCTGATAGATTTTAACAAGTTATATAAACTTTAGCCTTATAGCATTTGAATATATCATTTGCAGATAATAATATAGTGGTTTTGTGACAGTGCTTTGAAGTGATTATTAGTGGTTAGGAAAAGGGACTGTAGAGTGCCTATTAACATGTGTGCCCTGTTTCTAGTTGCCCACTCATTTCAGTGGCTGGTCATAGTCTAGGATAAACTGATGAAGTTGCACAATTGATAAATTGCCATTCAACCACATGATGTCAGAAATATGACAATTCAGGACAGGGGAAAGATGGAAATATTAAAAACTACCATCATTAAAGACTGCTGAAAACTCTGTGAAGCCATCATCACCATGTGAGAGAAACTTCAGATGAGGTGACCTGTCCATAATCACTATTACTGTAGAAAGTAAAGCTACAAGGAGTCAGAGATATGTATGTCTATTGTATTTGATTTCTGTTACTGTAGTAAATACCTTACCTATATCATTTGTAAAAAAGAGGAAAGGCCTATTTTGTCTCACAATATAGAGGTTACAGGGCTGGGGAGCTGGCTCAGTGGAATAAGCACTTCCTTGGCAAGCGCAAGGGTCTGAGTTCAATCCTCGGTTCCGAAAAAAAAAAAAAAAGTATATATATAGAGGTTACAGCCCATCATCAATTAGCTCTGTTGTTTTGGGCCTGTGGCAAGGCACTGCATTATGGCAACAGGGTATGACAAAATCATGCACCTCATGGCCAGTTGGGGAAGAAAGGAAGAAGATCCCATGACTGAGGGTTTCACAATCCCCTTTAAGATCACTGCCCAAGTGATCCAAAGACCTCCTGCTGGGCCTTACTTCCTATGTGTTCTACCACTTCTAAATGATGCCATGGGTTGGGGACCAAGAGTTTAACACATGGGCTATTGGAAGACAGTCAATATATTTGACAGTTAAATATACTATATTTGAACTGCAGCATCTGTGTTATACAAAGATGTAGGACCATATTACTAAACTTAGTAAACATCTAAACCTCCATATACTTAAGGTATTGAATTAGGGAATAAAGAGGAATATATATCTATGCTGTTGTGGCACTATTTAGGAAGTCTTTACCTATTCCTATGGGTTCAAATGTTTCCCCTATTTTTTTTTAACAGTTTCAATGATTTGGGGGTTTATGTCTAGATATTTGATCTATTTGGGATTTTTGCACAGTATGATAGAGAAGGATCCAGTTACATATGGATATAAA